AGCATAGGAACTAAAGCTCATGAGAGTTTCAAGCTGAGGGTTTTTTTTTTTTTTTTCTCTTCTTTTTTTGGAGGCATAAGCACTTTATCATTGCTGTCAAGTGTGGGCTTGGCATGAAGGAAAAATTATAGGAGAAAACCTAAAAAGCACTGTAATTTTGTTCCTTAAAATCTTTTGTCCAGATCTACTGATTTTGTACTATGTTTACAAACCTCTTTGGAAGCAAATATCTGTCCATCTGTCTGTCTAATGATTAAAGGCAATTCCTGGTAAATAAGGTTAATTTTTAAATGAACTATAGTTTGTCTCTAGATTTTGGTATGCATGGAAATGGGTATGCTGTGAAGTTTGCAAACTTTACTAATTGACTGTTTTCAATATAAAATTCAAAGTAAAAATACCGTAATCTTTAAGCCCTCAGTTTAAAAAGTTCAAGCTTTGTTAGTTACAGTCCTTTAGTAGGGGGTGATGATAGACAGTATATGAGGCACCTCTTTCAACAAATAGGATCAAAATCTCAATGGCTTACAGCAAGTGTGTATTGTGCTCATTCACTGGCTTGAGAATTGCCTGAGGTTCACTTGATCTAGTGTGAATACAGCCAAGCTTGGCTATACTGCAGGACTGTGTTTGGATCTGCCGTGTATCTAACCCAGGCTCCCAGAGCATCCTTAGCTTATGTTGATGGCAGAAGCAAGGAACATGATGTGAAAACACACAATGCCTCTTAAGGATTAGGTTCAGAATCTGTGCCCTGTCCACTGGCCACATTCATTTAGCCAAAACAAGTCACACATCTATAGAGCAGGGGAGATATAAAATGTCGGGGCTGGGGATTTAGCTCAGTGGCACAGCACCTGCCTGGCAAGCTCAAGATCCTGAGTTCGATTCCTGATACCAGAAGAAAAACAACAACAAAAAAAAAAAATAGAAAATGTCTAATCCAGATCTGGGGCTACAGAGGCAATTGGAAAAGGTGTTGAGTCCATGCTAATGTTTGGAATGTCCCCAGAAGACCCATGTATTCAGAGGTGGGGCTCTTGGCAAGTGATTGGATCGTGGTGGTGCTCTGTTCATCAGTGGATTGATTCGCGGGTGAGTTTGTGGCTGAGTGTGTCGTTAGAAGTGAAGGCCTGGTTAGAGGAGGGATCACAGGGAGTATGACCTGGAAGGACATGGCTCCCTCCCCAGCTCCTCCCTTCCTTCTCTGCTTCCTGGCTGCTGCGAAGTGAGCGGCCTTCTTTGGGGTCAGGCCCTTCCACCAGGCCATTCGAGCCTGCCAACCATGGAAGGAAGCCACTGAAACTGAGCCAAAATAAACCTTTTCTCCTTTAAGTTGTGGGCATTGGGTATTTTGTCCCAACAACAAGAAAGTACCTAAGACAGTCCATAATAGTAATGTGGGGAGAAAGCAAAGAAATGGATCAGTGACCCAACATACCCTGGGTAGAGAGACTAACTCAGTTGTGGAATGATGGGCTGGAGATGCTGCTCCATTTTAAATGGCATATCACCTTTTCTTTCTGTCTGTTTCCACTGTTTGAATAATTGACAGCCAAACCTCAGACTGATGTTATAGGTTAGCGTCAAGAAGTGCAGCTCATCATTTGAATGGTTGGGAAAAACAGACTTTCAGAATGGTGCCAAGGTAAGTCACGCTGCCTGTGTGTATCTGTGCTGTAGGCTGTATTAACTGTGGTCGGCTGTAGAATTAACCCATGTATGTATGTGGTGGATTAAGTGTTGAAATGTCTTTGAGAAACAAAGCAACTAATACATATTGAGTAAAAACCAGATTTATAATCTGCACGTGAAGAGCAAAGACATGATTAAATTTTTTTTTAAATTTTAAAAAATTATTTTTATTTAGGTTTCTGATTCAGCACATGTATCAAAGACTGATCAACATAAAGTAAATAAGACATTAATCAGAAGTCTTATATCTATGATTAAATTGATAGTACTCTACTTTCATAAAATATTCTATGACACTCTAACCCCTAAAATTAGTTTGTATCAGAAATTAAATGGAAGTTGGCTTTTTAAATATATGTACCTAATTTCAGGTAATTGTCTCTCTTTTATTATGTTTGCTTATCTAAAGAGAGTAGGACGGGTACTAAAAATTTTAATAAATACAGTCATGTACATTAGTTTTTACTAACACACTTGTGTTTGTTTTCTTAAAAGACGCCATTCAAAAAATTACTTTATAAATTTGTTGTGGTTTTTAGAAAGGTGAATTTGTCCTACGTCTTATCTTACTGTGTTACGCTTTTGAGAATAACAGTTTTATGTTACTTCTTTCTGCCTTTGGTCCTTCCTTGTCTTAATGATCCTTATCCAAATTATTATGCATCATGATTTTATCTCTCATGTTTCCTTCATAGAGATATTGTCTGGTTAAATATTAGGCATTAGAAATTGGGCCTTTAAAACAGTCTCCAGAAGGAGGTTAATTTTCATTGTTCCTCCATTGTTTTTCTTCTACATTAAGAGTTAGTTGAGTTGTGTGTCTTACCTCCGTACTTTCCCTCGGTGTGGTGTTGGGTAGCCCTATACGTATGTGAATTCATTTGCACTTGTGTGCACACGCATGTGCATGCAGATGTATGCATGTGTATGTGTTTTATCTAAGGACTTCACCCCTGTTATTGTGGAAAGTTACTGCTCCTTCATACATGAACGCCTCATACCTTAAATTCACCAGACAATGTGCCTCTGATACGATGTCTTACTTGCAGTGTTGTATATTGTATTTTGTGATGTATATATTTATGTTATGTTTTGATTTATTAATTCTGTTTAAACTTAACTCAAAGCCAGTAGTTACTTCAGAATAAAAGTGAAAAGAAGGTTTTAAAATGAGAACTCTGAGGGGCTGGGGATTTAGCTCAGCGGCAAAGCGCCTGCCTGGCAAGCGCAAGGTCGTGGGTTCAGTTCCCGGTACCGGAGAAAAACCAAAACCAAAAAAAAAAAAAAAAAAGAAAAAAAAAAGAAAATGAGAACTCTGATTAGTAATTATCCATTTTTGTAGTGAGATAGTATGGTAAAAATTTTACAAATTTATTTGCCCCTTTCTTGCCAAACATGGACAGAATTATTCTAGCAGGGGAGTAAGCCATATTCATGGAAGTAAAGGAATCTGAGTTTTAGTTTCTTCATCTATTAAAACATATCCAGGACTGACTTCCCATCAGGGTCACCATGAGGAAAAAGTAGAGAAGCTTAGCCAGGAGCCTCCTTCCTGACGATTTTTAGGCATTAATCTTTTCCTATAACACTGGAGCAGAAGTAGGGACACTCCATAGCATATGCTTCCCTAAGTGAAAGACCAGGAGACAGTCTGTTTGGAGACCATAGGTAGCAAGGGACATAACTGGAGAGGTACTCATTCGAAGGCATCAGGCCCACGTGGAGGGTGACCCGAATTCTTACCTTCCAGTCACCCTATGGCTTCAGAGGGGAGGGCAGACCCGGGAGGTCATGGATTCTCACTTTTCCCAGTGGCTGCAAGGAAGTGTTAAGTAGACATCTTTCCAGGAACAGCTGTAAAATACTATGACCTGTATCTCTTTCACTTGAAAATGTGGATGAGAGCCAGTGATTCAAACAATCAAACAAAAAGAATAAAAAGAAAAACCTTAGCTATCCTCAAATTTTCTATTTTCTAAACTGCTCCTCTAATATAAAGGTCGATCTTGTCGTCTCACAGTCCCTTTGTGCATGGACTTATTCTCAGCTCATGTTACTTGTAAGTCAGGTATTCAGCCTGGAGGAAGCTGCTGGCTAGGGTTGGGTCACTGCCAAAGTGACTTTCTTACAGAGATTATGTGTAATAAACACCCTATCATATACCTGACAGTGATCCCTCTTGCAAAAACCTAAACCTTTAACTTCCTCCTAGTTCCTTGATAGTCTGCCAAGGTGGCTTACCAGGAATTAAAGAAGGTCTAGGAATTTGTTATGTGAGACTTTAGAGGCGGCCTAATCTGGTATTTTCCGAACTCTCTGCCAGTAGAACACGAACAGCCTGTAACATGTGCAGCAGTTATCTCTTTAAATGGATCTTGTCGTTAGGGACATGTAGAAAACCTTGCTACACGGTTAGTTAGCTTTTTTTACTAAAGGACATCTCAGGGTCTTTAATATGCTATGGTGTGGCTTTCTAAGCGGGGTCAGCAAGCAGCTTTCCTGACCTCAGAGTCCTCTTGTTGCCATCTCAAGAGTGTCATGCAGAATCCATGTGGTATAATCACTAAGAACATGGCCTCTAGTGATTAATTGCTGAGGATCAAATGCTAGCTTTACCATTTACTGGTTTTATGTTCTTGAATAAATTGTTTAACTTCTTCTTGCTTCAGTTTCCCCACCTAAAATGGGAACATTAATGATACCTAATTAGAAGCTATTTTAAAAATTGAAGACAAGGCTAAAAAGAGTGCCTAACACTATTATTAGCCAAACATAGTTTAGGTAAGAATGAGCTAGCCTAATACTCAATTCTGGAGACGACAAAAGTGAGTTACTCATGCAGCACTCGTCATTCAACAGACTGACTGAGTTCCCATGTGCACCATGCTTAAGGATTCTAGCCCTAGAAGTGAAGATGAGCAAGACACAGTTCCTGCCCTGGACAAACAGGCACACGGATGACTTGGCTCACGTAACACCTTTGGTGTTAAAGCTAATGGCCTGAGCCTCCTGACGTCTGTCAGCAGCTCCTCCCCGATTTCCTTGTGAGTGAGCCTGAACCATGCATCATGGGTTGGTAGGCAGGAATGTGAAGCACAAAGTACAGCTAAGAGATTTACCTTTTCAGGTTAAGGATGTTAGTGTGATCCAGAAAAAAAAATAATTGGAAACAACAAACTCTAAAAACACAATTTAGTGAAGTAAGAAATGTTATGGTGAAGCCCTCATAGGAGTTCCCCAAAAGTGACCGGCTCGGTTGTGTTTCAGCTGCTGTGTTACTGATGGTCTCCTCTGTGCTTGTTTAGGTGTCTCCTCTGAGGGCTTTCCTTGGGACCGCTTCAGTGAACAGACAGCTAAAGACCTCCCCAGCAGAGATGGAGGTGCTTGGGTCCTGGGCTATAGAGCAGGCCCACCCTGTCCCTTTCTGCTCTACGAGGACAGAGAGAAGTCAAACAGAAGCAAATTGTACTTGGATCTCAATGTAAGTGAAAACCTTCGTGTTTGTGCTGTGGTTCTTCTTGGTAAACTGAAGTTCATTTAATATACCTTTAATGTAAATTGTGTACATAAAACTGTTAAAGCTGCATTTCATCATGAATCATTTTTTTTAAAATCAATAGGCTACAAAAAACCAAGATGTATCTTGGTGATCTGAAATTTGTGCCCTGGAAAGTGACTGTTTATATTTTATCTGAGTGTTTTCAGAGCGCTATGCTCATGTTAGCTTTGCTGTCTAAACCTTACTGTGGCAAAAACCATTTGGTGCTAGTCCCTTAATGTCATTTTCCTAGAAATTTATAAATAGCATGTGTCAGTCACATGTTAGGCTCTGATAGGCTCTGCATTCTCCAGTGAAATCCAAGCAGCCTGTCTACTTGCACATCTATAAACCATTCTTTCTTTCCAGCTGCTCAAATAACAGGTGAACAGGTTGGCAGGAAATCTGCCAAATACAGGATGACCTATTTAAAAACCATAGCCTTCTCCTTTCTCACTCATCCATGTATTCATTGACACGAGAGCATTGACTCCCTGATACAAAGCCTGGGGCTGCAGTTAAGCTACTTCCACATTTAGATGGTCCAATCAGATCCAGTGGCCTATCACAGTTCTCATCACCCTCTTACCCAGTTTCCTGTTGCAGATAGGGTGAATGTGGGAATCCAATAAGCACTTTGCTTTTTTTTCTTTTTACCATTGAATTAAAGCCCATTGACAATCTTGTGTTCTCCAGTTCATTAATTCCAGGCTGGATATATGCATGCAATGAGCCTGGGTCAGGCCTATGATCATCTAGGTGACTATACGAGTTTCATAAGGTACATTAGGTCTGCCATATTTGCATAGGTGGAAACCAAATGAGCAGAAAAACCTTGTACTTTTCATACCCATAAAGTAGCCACTGTATGTCATTCTAGAAAAGCATTTGGCATTTATTATCATAAAAGGTTTGAAATGAAGCTGAAGAATGACAAATTGACAGTCATTCCAGAGATGATAGGAGGATTTGTAGAAGTTTTTTTTTTAATCTTCCTACCTGAAAAGTCAAGTTGTACAGCTTGGGAATTGTGCTGAAAGCAGGAGGTGTAACAGTGACATCTATTGGTGAACCTCTGAGTTGATGAAGCAGCAATAGCAGGCCGCCCTGGAGTACAGCAGTGTTGAAATGGATTTTGAAAGGCTACTTCTTACCCATGTCTCCCACCTCCTCCCCTCGAAATAGACTAAATTATTCCGGTTTCCTCTACCTCCATAAATTAAATTATTTCATAACGTTATTTACTACAATTATAAATATCATAGATGATTCTAATAGAAAAAATGAAACATGTAGGTGCATTGGAAAAACAAGAAATAAGCGATAGTTTCAGCAGCAAGGATCACAACAGAAAATTTGATTTCTTTTTTTGTAGTTTTCACTGTGTATGATTTATTTTCAGTGAAGGATTTTAAGAATTTATATATAAGCATCTAGATTTTATAATCTTCTACTTATTAAAATCAATTACTCTTATCTACTTATCCATGTTGTTATAGACTCTTTATAGATAGATGTTTTCAGTGATTGAATAATATTCCACTAAACAATATGTCAAAACGTATTTCTTCTTACATTTTCTAATAGTGAAATAGCACTACTATTTGAAAGTCAATAGTATGACCACATATATACTTTTTGTGTAACCTTTCTCCAACATTGAGAAATATTCTTTATAAAATTTTGAAGGAAAATTATTTTGTATAAATGTTTTTAGGCTTTGTATATATCATGATATAAAAAGGTTTGTTTCCTGAACCAGACTTTTATGACTATATCTGAATATATAACATATTTATCCATATGAGATGTATGTTATATATTCATATATTGCCTATGCAATGTACTTACACAATTAAAAGAAATACATGTATTTACACATTTCTTAGTCTTCTACTAGATATAACTTTTAAAAACTAGAGTAATTTCCTGAAATTATTATCCAGATCAGTGGTTTTTATACTTTGGGCCCTGTTTCCTTTGTCACCTCTAAGCTGAGCTACTCCCCTCTTCATACAGAACAATTTGCCTCATGTGTTTAAATGTTGCCATTTTAAGTAAGATTTCTATGTGAAAGGATTTTGCGGATTTAGAAAGTGCATGCATTCTGGTAATGACATTCTAGGCCAGGGGCAGAGAGCCTCCGAACGCTAAGTTTGGAGGAGTGTATTGCTGTGGAGTAGTTTGATCATCCTTGGCCATTGGATCAACACTACTTTGCTTTCAGTTTTAAATCTGATTTGCAGTGTCATCAGCAGGAGGTTATTTTCCTAAGCCATTCTCTGTAGTTCCACTGACTCTCCACAGGGTACAGGGATAGCAACCAAACCAGGTAACAATTGATTGAGCGAGACAGAATGGACACTGGGACCATGGTTGGTGCTCTCCTGATCCCGTCTTTCAGCTGGGCATCCATCTTTTAGTTACTAAATTATGAAACTCAAGGTAGCATCTATTTGCCAAACGAACTAAATAAAAAATCCCCGAACTCATTTTCTCTATTCTCCTAACACTTCCAACACCAAATGAGTGGTTTTCCACACCAGGCAGATCTCCAGTTTTCTGTGGACACCATTTGGGAGTCCTACAATTCCACTCTGACACATCTCCCTGGAATGACCATCGATCCCACAGATTATCACAGAAGGTGCGCCCACTCAGCAGCTGATGATGAGTACGTCGTGGATCCTCAGGCCACCTCCCACTCCTGGCTGACTGGGATACCGATCTAAGTTCCCTGGACCCTACCTCTGTTTCAGTTGTTTTCTGAAACAGCTTGCACACACTAGGGAAACAGTACTTGTACTATTACTGATTTATTATGTTGATATTTTCAAAGGATACAAATGAAGAGCCAGATGCACAGGTCCAGAAGAGTCAGAGCACAGGAGGTTCTGTGGCTGTGGAGACAAGCTCCTTTTGTTAGGGCTTTAAAGAGGCTTTATTACATATGCAGGACTAATTAAATCATTAGCCACTGGTGATTTATTCCACTCCAACCCCTTTAGAGGTCAGGGGGTGGAGCTGAAACTTTCAGTCCTCGAGTACCCTGGTTAGTCCCCAAATCAACCAGTCTTGCATCCTTGTGGGCTTCCCAAAAGTCATCGCATTAACATAAACCCAGGTGTGGTTGAAAGTGGCCTGTTATGAGTAACACCTCGATTTCCCCTGAGCTGTTTCAGGAATTGGGAACAAAGCCCAATATTATCACAAAGGATGTGCTTCTAACTTTCATCACTTCTAAGTTTTAAGAGTTCTGGCTGTGCACCTGAAATGAAGAACAGTTGTCTTCCTAAGCATGTGACAGTATATATGATACCAACGTGTATATCAGTGTGTAAGCAGCCAGCAGTGTACTCTTGCGGCCAGACCTTGCTGCGTGGAGAAGGTCGGTTCTGATAACCATCCCGCAGTCCTGCTTGAGCAAATTGTGAAAGTCTGAAGACTATCCCGAGCAGACAACAAAGTTCTTAAAGATTGAAGCCCATGCTGTGGCACTTCCATTTTGGGGTAGTGGGGCTGCCAGATATTATATGGGATATGCCTGAAAAGTTATTTTTTGTCTGAAATTGAAATTTAATGGAGCGCCCTGTATTTTACTGACTAAACCTGGCAATAGGAGATATCACTTTTGGGATAACTTCCAAAAGCCATATGTATGAGTTGCCCTAGGGTAGAGGTTCATATATATGATAAAATCTCAGGTGCCCCAAAGTGCCTACTTAAAGCATGAATATTAAAAAGTTAGCCTTTAAAGGGAAGTATTTACGAGCTACCAAATAGGAATTACCATTAATTCTGTACCTTAGTTTGTAGTATACTTTGAAACAGATTTGGTAAAGGCAACACGTGATAGTCAGAGATCAGAGAGCTACTGGGGCCTAACTCCTTATAATAAGTGTAGTTTCCTGGGGATCCCATTTGAAGGGAGCACTCCATGGGTTTGTTAAAAGTCTGTAAACAAAGGACATGGGTGGAGAGAGTTTACTACCAAAGGTGTGGATTGAGATTGAAAACAGAGATAAAAAACAGGAAAGGTAAGCAATCACTGGGATTATACACTGGTCTGAAAGTAAGATTTTGAGTTCCAGTTTTTAAAATATAAACTTAAACTCTTGGTGATTTGATTTTCCAGGGATAATCAGTCTCCTTACTGTGAGGCTCTGTATACTGTTTACTGAATTGGCTGAGGTAAACATAGCATCAGGTTGCAAGTAATTGCATTTTATGAGCCAGAGGATGTAATTACCAAGTCCACACCCAGCCTTGAGTGTCTCAACTGGTAACAAGAACTTCCACATATTGGGTCACTTCCTAAATGCCAGATGCCATGGTCCTATATTATTATGTCTACTGCACAAATAGGAGAGAAGTTTAGCGAGGGCAGGGGCAAGATTTGAACCCAGGTCTGAGCCTAGACCCAAGTTCTTTAATGTGAAGCCTCTCACCCTCTTTACTACTTTGGATTATGCAGGGCTGGGGGTGTTGTTTTGTCTCTAATTTCAAAAAAAAACATTCATTTAATGGGTCTGAATTTACTCCCACAATCAGTAAAAAGGATTCAGAAGCAGGCTGAGAGATAGGTAGAATGCCACCCCAAATTCATCTGGTGGGCTGCTGCAGCTGCAGGCGTGGACACTCACGTCCTCAGCATGCCCCGATGCTCTGGGTCTTTAACGGTGAGATGTTGCTGCGAACATGAGTCCAGTCCTTCACCTTTCTTCATTCCTCAGTGGCAAACTCCAGAGCGTACACGAGGTTAAATGTCAGCGCAAACACAGCTTTCTCTCTGCGTTGTAGGGAAACGGCATGTGTTTGTATTGTTTTTGTGGAAGTCAGTGGGAGGCACCTTCAAGCTAAAGCCGTAAGATTGAATCACTGAAGTCAAGATATTCATGGCAATGGGGTTTGTACTGCAAGTGAATTCAAAAACATTAATGTGG